GTTTTCTGCTGAAACCCATACTAGCTGATGTTTATGTGCTGTCACATTACTTGTACAATAAAGATAAGAGAGAAATTGTACATATTGAATGATGTACAATTTCAGGGTAAGGTAAACGTTTGATTGTACATTTTAAATGTTGGATTACTGCATATTAAAAGGGATTTGAAGAAATTAAAAAATTGAAATTTTAACAGAAAAGTATCAAATATGATGTACAGATTGAAACATAGGTTCTAAGGTATATTGGTACAAAATAGATAGATAGCTCAATACCAGTATTGGTATTTATGTATACCAATATTAGTTTATATAGATAAAGTATGTATGTGTGTGTGTGTGTGTGTGTGTGTGTGTGTGTATGTGTGTGTTTGTGTATGCGTATACTTTATATTCTACAGCAGTTTTAGGTTCACAGCAGAATTGAGAAGAAAATGTCACATATACTCCTTGTCCCCACCCTGACAGTCTTCCCTGCTATTTACATTCTGCACCAGAGTGGCACATTTGTTACAGTCAGTGAGATGAGCTTACTTTGGCACGTTGCCACTCAAAGTCCATAGTATACATGGAGTTTCACTCTGGGTGTTGAAAGTTCTGTGGATTTTGACAAACATGTAATGACATGTATCCACAATTATAATGTTATACATCCATTTGGTTTCACTGTCCTAAAAATTCTCTGTGCTCTACCTCTTCATTCCTCCTTGCCCTACCTCCCATCCCATAACTCCTGGCAGATCTTTTTCCTGTCTCCATAATTTTGCCTTTTCTAGAGTGTCATATAGTCGAAATCAGACAGCATGTAGCCTTTTCAGATTGGTTCTTTTCCTTAGTAACATGCATTTAAGGTAGTGCTGAGATTTTTCAGAGTATTAAAAAGAGAACAATCAATGTTGTTCTTATTTTACAGTGTTAAAGGAAATGTATATTATGATCAGCTCCAATATGTAAATGAAAAATCAACTGCAAACTGCAACATAAGATACACTTTATGGTTGATTCCAACACACTTGAAATTTGTAATCCTCCTATAATAATTAGGTAAATCCATGGGTGAGACACAAAAATAAACCTGTTAATATTAATGTTTTAGAAAAAACTTTTTAATAGTGGCCACTCTTCTCTTTTCTTTTTACCAAGACAAAGTTTTGCTCTTGTTGCCTACGCTGGAGTTCAGTGGCACTCTCTCGGCTCACTGCAACCTTCACTTCCTGGGTTCAAGTGATTCTCTTGGCTCAGCTTCCTGAGTTGGTGGGATTACATGCTTGCACCACCAGGCCAGGCTAATTTTTGTATTTTTAGTAGAGACAGGGTTTCACGATGTTGGCCAGGCTGGTCTTGAACACCTGACCTCAGATGATCTGCCCACCTCAGCCTCCCAAAATGTTGGGATTACAGGCGTGAGCCACCACGCTGGGCCAGCCACACTTCTTAAAGCATCTATGTGGCAGAGTGCATCCAAGTGAAAAGGTAACATCTTCTAGGAGTATTAGTTTTATTTCATCACTTAAAGGAAACCACTTATATCAAAAAAGTATGGATTTGTAGTAGAACACATAATTTTCATTAGGTTAAAACGAGACAAAAGAAATATGGAGTGAATGAAGGACTGCTCTTGGCTAAGAGACTACCTAGACTCTCCGTAGGAGTGCCAAGTCATGTTCTCCCTACATCAGAATTATTTCATTAGAAAATTTGAGCAGCAATTCAGAGGAGACTTAATTTAAACTAGATTCATTCTGATGTTTGGATAGTGTTATAAGTCAGGTTCCCGGGGAAGCTGACGTTAAGGGAGACTCCACATCAGAGATTTATTAGAAATTCTCTCAGGAACATCCCTGCAAAGAACGGGAAGAAAGAACTGTGTATTGGGTGGGTGGGGGGTGGGCTTTAGTTGTGATACAGGTGCAATAAGGGGCTCAGTCAATACCATGGGGAGCCCTGGAGTTGCGCTGGCTCTTCATAAATGCCCTACATTGTGGCATACGGCCTGGCCATTTTATCTCCAACTCACCAGTCAGTGAATGGAAGGGCCTAGAACAAGTGAGTTCTGGATACAATTCAATGAAAATAATTTTGGCATTTAATGCAAAGGCTATCTCCAAAAGGGGAAAGTTTTACTTTTCCATATCCAATGTAAGAAAAAATATAAAGGAACACAAACACAAACAAATACACACACACACACACACACACACACACACACACACACCATTCTGAATAGAAACTGGGAAACATAAGGAATCTGTGTTTGTTTTCAAATAGACAATGTTACCTTCCTCATTTTTTTTTTTAAAGAAAAGGGTAATGCTTAACTAAGTCATACATATTACTAAAGGATGGTTCTAGATTCTTGTTACATGCAAAGAATTTGTTAAACCTTTTCAACCTTTGGTGAGTTCATAAAGATGAAAATTTCATGCATAAAATACTTTAGAAAAAAATTAAGAATTTCCATCCTTCTTTAAGTATAAGATTAATTTAATGAAAAGATTGCAGATAAACTGTTTATTTGGCCATGGTTCAGTATCAGAAGAGCTGTATGTAAAAGTATACGGATTTAAATCCGACTTACTTTCAAAGTTTGAATTTAGAATTTGTACGTTGGAACATTGCAATATATGCTGCTGTGATCTCAGGAAGTTAGATTAGAACATGATATTGATGTGTCCATGTCATATATTTATCCCTCTCCTACTTAAACATACGGATTTCCATGAACATAGACTCCCTAAGCATGGCCCTCGTATATCTCAGATACATGGCTTTGTTCATAGGATCAGTCTAAATACGTTCTAGATATATCTTCACTATTGGTTCACTGAGGAGGGAGAGGGACTTTCTTTTTCTTTTTCTTTTTCTTTTT